CAAGTCCAACGGTCATTTTCAGCCAAGAATGCGGAAGCATGACTCAAGAACTGTGCGCAATAATTCGAAAATAAATGCGCAGGAAAGAAAAAGCGCTTAGCGTTTCCATCTGCATCTGCACATGCAATTGCCAACGGATGTGTGTGTGTGTGTGTGTGTTTGTGTGTTGCATGTGTGTGTGTGCCTAGAGCTGCAGCTGGATCTGCACTAGAGATGGCCATGGAACTATTGCTTAGTCTAAAAACACGAGATCTCAAGCTTTATCAAACCAAAGAATGATTTTTCAAGTGCCAATTTTTCCATTAAATCAACGATTTTTCATTCAGTTATATTAATAATATTCATTTTATCATGATTCAATATTCAATTATAAATTTGATTATTATATTTATTAATAATATTATTAATTTCATTATTGGTACAAAGAATTTTAATTCAATATAATTATTCATTTTATTTGTATTAATAATATTAACGATTTTTTAATCAAATTTAAATTTTATTATTATTATATATGATATTATTATTATCATTAGTATGACTTGGCCTGCGATTCGAGCCCGCATTCTCATTTATAAACAATAATCGAGGCAGCAAAATCTTTAAATCAACTGATGAAACAAGGATACGGGTTCAAACTCAAGGCCTAGGTATGATTCATGAGGGTCTCGGCTGATATTTCAGACTTGGGTATTAATTGATATTCTATGAAGACAATATTTTATCATAAAAAGCAACAAATTTTTAAAGAAACTTAAAATTTTCCAAATATTTTCCATCAATTATTTACTGAATATTATATTAAGGTGGAATTTTCAAAGATTAGCTAAACGCTAACAGAAAAAAATAAAATTTAAACTTTAGGAACTCTTTTCTAAAATTAGGAAAAAAAAATGTTATTTTATGACGATTTTCAAAAATGCGGAATAGAAATTTTTAATCATATGTTTCTCTTTCTTTCGTACAATTCATCCAGATTATTTTTAAAAAGTTTTCCAATTCCGGAAAAAAAAACACATTAAAAATGTATAGAATTTTAATTTCGGAAATGAGAAATAATTTTGCTTTTATGATGATTTTCAAATACGCAGGAAACAATTTTTTTAGTCATATAGTTCTCTTAGGCTCCGTACATATCAATTAAATTATTTTTAAAAAGTTGTATAGAAATTTTATTCGCAAATGAGAAATAATTTTGCTTTTATGATGATTTTCAAATACGCATTCAACTATATTTTTAGTCATATAGTTTTTCAAACGGGAATATCAAATTGTCTTTACGCTACTTCGAATTAGCGAGCTTTGATCATGCTTTAATCGTGCTTTCATTTTGTCACGCACGAGTCGGAGAAAAGCTCGACTTGAGCTCATCTCTAAAATTGAGTTTTCGTGCTAAGCCAATTGGAGCCCGGAGTTGCCACCTTGGGCAGCTGCGGTGTCGGGGCAACAATCAATCAAAACATCAACAGCAGCAGCAGCAGCAGCAGCGGCGGCAGCGGCAGCGGCAGCAGCAGCCCCCGCCCTGCCCCGTCGCCTGTCGCTGTTGGCTATGTTTAGCCATGTTTGCCATATACACAGACACACACACACAGGCACACACACATAGGCACACACATCTGTGATCTAACAGTCTGTGACAAATTTTATTTCTGTAGCGGATCGGCGACGTCTGTCTCGTTCCGTTCAACCCCTGCCCCCGCCGTCTGCCCCGCCCGACCCCACCCAGTCGGCAGCCAGCTGAAAAGCGCTCAAAAGCTAATGTCACTTCGCAGCATATTTAAAAGCACATAAAGATGTTTATACCAAAAATAACATGCAAAGCACAGCGCAAAGGCAAGAAGAACGACCAGCCCAGCACGCACACACACACACACACTGACACGCACACCCTCCCCCAATGCCGCCCAGCGATCCAACGGCTCGCCACCCAACCCTCCGTCCCGCTCAGTCGGGACAGACGCGGCTGCGGCCCGTGGACGAAACAGTCAAAAAATAGCCTAGCGACAGGCCAAAAATAAACGAAGCAGCAGACGACGCCAACGTCGCTGCCGCAGTCGACGTCAGCGTCAGCCGCCGGCCGAATGGCGATAGTGTCGCAACGGTGGCGCTTCGTTCACATGAACTGCGTTTCTGCCTTGGCTGCCTTGGTCTGCCAGGGCTGCTCGCCTGTTCAGGGATGACTCATCCAGCCGGAGTTCGACTTGCCGAGCTGATCCTTGCCAGCGCTTGCTCTGACCCACATTCGTTGCCTACTTATAGGCGTGCTTAAATTATTAAGCCCCCTTTCTGACGGCTGCATACCCGCCCCCGGCCCTGGCCGGCCGAACTGCAGCCATGTCCGCTGCTCTGCTCAAACAAATTAAATGTTTTGTTTTTTTACGTCTGGTCTGGTCTGGTCTGGTCGCGCCAGCGTTTCTTCGTATCTGCTTTGAGTAATGGACTCTGCGACTGCGACGAGCGTCGGGATACGGAACAGATCTGTGGGACAGACGCATACGCTATTTGCATGCACTGCACAGTAAAGCTTCTCTATAAGGAACTAGGTGTGATATAGCTAGAGCCAGAGCAAATATCCATTGACTTTGCTTTATACAATTGAAGTCTTTTACAGTGTTTTGAAAGTTTCCAAACTTATAGATAGATATAAATATATAGATACATCATAAATATTATAAAGTTGGGTTACAAACAGATGTTGTCGTAGCGCATGGCCCCAAAACTAAAGACTTTATTTCAGAACATCTTAAATATTAGAAAATTGGCAAATGAATTGCCAAAGTTGGTAGTTGGCTTGTGAGGGGACGTTGTCTGGGCAGGGACTGGAAGAAGTGCCATCAAATTTATATATGAACAAATTCTTTAGAAACATATTTACAAATCATGCATAAAAATATCTATAGTTTTAAAGAATTTAATGTGAACAGGTAAGGATAATATATTTTTTCAGAAACTCAGAACACCCTGTTAAAAAGCTTATATCTTAAGTATTTAGCATAGCATTATTTTATACGTCATTTCTATATCTCTTATCCATCTATAAAATGGAATTACCAAGGATATATCAGGTTTAAGTATTATGCTATGCATATTCTGAGTTTCTTCTACTTAATGAACCATCTGTGATGGACGGCATTTTTCAACAATCCTTTTTGTTATTTATTGAAGCCCTATTATGTATTGTATATATACATATACTATATGTACTAAATATTAGAATCGATTTGTATGGAAAGAGGGACATACTGTAAGATTCAAAATTCAATCAATTCTAAAAAACATTGTTAAAAATCGTCGTTTCGAAATCTTTTTAAATGCCAATCTATAAGTAAGCTCTGTAAATTCCGATTTACTTAATTCATTGTAGCCAAGCTGTACTGTACATACATATGTATGGTACATGCTAGATCATTCCTACAGCGTAAATTCAAATTCAGATTCACTTGCCCACAAAATTAGAAATTTAAACCAGCAACAGCAACAGCAACGACAACAACAACAACAACAACAAAATAGCAACATTTTTGAGCGTCTAAATAAAGTAGCGAAAAGAACCAAAAAAAAAAAAAAAAAGAAACAAAATAAAAAAAAAAAGGAAAACAGAATAGAAGATCCGAAAAACTAGAAAATTGAAAAGAAAGCAAAGAAATCATCAACAGCGAAGCAACAGGGAAAATCCATCCTAAGCAAATAAAAAATGCTGTCCGAGTGTGTGTGCGAGTGCCTGTGTGTGTGAGTGTGTGTGTGTGTGTGTGTGTGTGTGTGTGTTGCACGGCGAGCAAAAGTTTTATTTAAAGTTATATGTATGTAGTTGTATGTGTGCATATATAGAAGCTATATAGATCGCACAACCTTTGTCTCTAGCTCTCTTCCCCTCTCCCTCTCTCTCTCTCTCTCTCTCAGCCACCCCACCCTCTCTCCCTGCCCCATGTGTCTCTATTGGGGCATTGAGCATTGTCTGGGAATGCCCAGTGCCCGCCGTTTGGCAACGGAATGCGGCGTCTGTCGCTGTCGGCCGGGCCCTTTGTTGCTCTGCGCGCCAGCTATTCCGGGGGCCCCCATATAGACAGACAAAATGGTACATATGCATTCCATGCTTCCGTATGGCCATATAGCCCATAGCCTATAGCCCATATAGCTGTAGCTATAGCCATAGCTATATATTCCCTAAATCATTGCAACTCAATCATCGGTCGAAAATAGCAACAACAAAAAATGTCTAACGCACGCATTTCCGCTTATTTTTGGAAGCCATTGACTGGGGGAAAAGGCCGCATTTTCCACCCCATGAATGTGCTGTGATCGCGTGTGTGTGCGTGTGTGTGTGTGCCGTGTTATGTTTGGAAATCTTCTTCAGTCGGTGACTCAGCTAAAAGCACTCAAGTGATTGGCAAGTAAAATCCCTAAGTAGCTATAGGTAAAAGCAGGGTAGCAAGCCAGCAAAAAAGAAGTCGATGGTTCAAACCAACTCCCCGCTTTGAATTTAGGCACGTCAATCATTCTTTAGACCTTAGTTTCTTATATATATAAAACACATATAAATTATTAAACAATTCCATATTTAGATTATAATTGCCCTTTCTACTGAAAATATTGCCTGTCCTCCATATTTTCATATAGAAATTGTGGGCTAAATATGAACTCTACCCCAAAATTGGCCTCTAGCTAAATATGGCTAGATAAATCCAATATTTGTGGGACCAAGTATTTTATTATTTAAAAGTCTTTTATTGATAGCTCAAACATTTTCGAACAAAATTCTTGTTTTTGTTCGAGTTTAGGTTAAATTGTTTTTTTGAGCAACTCGTTTGGTTTAAGGTTCGGTTTATGGTTCAATATTAAAACTGGAACCGGTTCGTTTTACAGCATGGGTAAAAACCTGGCTCATTTGTATTGATTGTGTCCATTTGGTTGATCTTGCCGCTGATCGTGCTGTGCATTAGGGTGTCCTCCTAAAAAGTCATAATCACCTGTCCACCCTACATCAGCTCAAACCCATGCAGACACCTTGAGAACGAATTTTTATGCACCGCTGGCAACGACATCAGCCACAGCCACAGCCACAGTCTCTGCCTCTGCCTCTGCCTCGGCCACCAACTCCAACTCCAACTCCATCTACAGCGCCGTCTGGTTCACAGTCTCTGATCTGCCGTTGGGCATCGTTTTGGTCTCGTCGTGGTCGAGAGTGCAGCAACAGCAGCCGCAGCCGCAGCCGCAGCGAGAGCAAAAAGCAAAAACACAACGACCAAAGACAAATTCTTGCGTTTTTCCAGGAATTCACTCAATAAACTCAAACAAAACCCAAACATTTAACAAACGAACCAGAGGCAACAGCAGCAACAGCCGCGGCAGCGGCACACAACTCAGACAAAGGCCAAGAAGACGAACACGACGTTGGCGCAGACGAAGACGAAGATGAAGACCAAGACCAAGACCAAGACGCAGACGAAGACGCTCGCTCAGAGACTCGCCAACAAAACACAAGCCAAAAGGCGGACCAGGAATTTCGAACAAGAACAAACCAAAGCGACTGGGAAACGGAGTTCGAGTTGCAGATGAAGCTGTGAAGTGGCCAGTCGCAGCTGGAAGATAGATAGTAATGCGCTTCTTAAATATCATATTTTTCGAAAATGATAATTTAATCAAATGAGGCAAGAAATCGGCATCAAAATGCGATAACCCATTCAAATTAATCGAGTTAAGACGACATTATGGAAGCTTCAAAAATTAGGATATGGTTTAGAAAGTTCAAACTTCTTATCCTGCTGTCTATATATGTATATATAAAACTGATTGTCCTGACTGACTGACTGATTGGAGATCAACTCACATCCCAAGCCGTAAGAGTTAGGAAATTTGTACTGTAGTTACCTAACGTAATGGAGATTCACGGGTTTTGGGAAATTCCACCCGCAAGTGTGGAATAATCGTGAAAAATGCTTGTATACAACTTTTTCGTTCAGCTTCCGATCGGGCTCAAACTCTTTTTCAAAGATCCTTGCTGAAATCTATTTAAGGTATGCTCTACACTTTTCGAAAAATCCAATTCTTGGTATAAATGAGGATCACAGAATTGGTGGGAGAATATTCGCGTTCATAAATGAATGCAAATTTCGGAAGAGCCTTACCCATAGAATGGGGATTTGTATAGGAAACATTTTTTACATTAATATCGACTTTGCGACTTTCCATAGTACAAGTTTCTTATATGAATTTTGACATGAAAATACAAAAACTTATGGGAGATCGAAGTCTAGGAAGAGCTTTACGTATAGAAGGATTCTTTCCATAGTCAAAATTTCTTACATGAATTATGGCGTACAAATTCCAAAAAAATTCCAAATTCAAATGCAGAATTGATTTCCAGGTCAAACTGTGATCAAACAGGTATCCGTCATAAAAAATGGTTCAGTTTTGACAAAGTTACGAAAGCTTAAAGTCTAGAAATAACTTTAACTATGACACATTAAAATCTCTTTCTTTTTGATGATGCTATGAAAGTTTGAGGTCTAGGAAAAGTTTGATAGAATGGGTTTTCTATGTATTCTATAGTCTTTCATGAAGCTTCAGATAATGTCAAATTGAACTCGAGGTCAAACTATGATCAAAGGGTTATCCCTCATGAAAATTGGTTCAGTTTTGACAAAGCTATAAAAATTCGAAGTCGTCGTAATGCTTTTTGCTCTGGACTTGCGAGGCTTATAAGTCCAATTTTTAGTCATAATAGACATTATCATCTAGATTAGTTTATTTATAAAGAAAACATAAATTTTAGCTAGCATACTTTTGGGCAAGCGTTTCGCTGCATAGTTTTGAGCGTGGTTAAAATCATATAAAGGTCAGTTCCCAATTTTCCCCTTGATTTGGTTTCTAAACGAGTTTTTTCTTGTAAAAGAGATTTTCTTCTACCAAGAACTCGTACTTAAAAATGGGAAATATTAAATTGAAATTCAGAATTAAGAAACGTGCCACAGAAGTGCGAAACGCTTTTCCAACACTCACTTCTCATACAATATTGCATTACAGCTTTAGTGTTGGTTAACGGCAAACAAAAAATGAGAAGCGTTGCCAGATAGTTTGTTTTGCGAGCTGTTGTCTAGCGCTGAGCTAGACTTTGAAGTGTTGACATGGAGTTGTGGGCGAAGGTGCCACAGGCGCTGTCTGTCCGCATCTCAAGTCTCGCAGAGGCGGGCGCAGCTACAGCAACAAGCCGAATCTAATCCAAAGACTGCCAATGGGCAGAGGAATCCAAAGTCAACGTCGCGTCGTCGTCATCTTTGCTCCAATGTCCGGCTACTGCTGGCGCTGGCGCTGCTCCTGCTGCTGCTGCTGCTGCTGCTGGCAGCTCCTAAGCGTCCAGGCGAATCCTCTAAAAATTATTTATTAACATGGTTGAAATTCGCAAACAGGTTAAAACGACCAATCAAAACAACAACAACAACAGCAACTGCAACGACAACAACAAAAGCGGCGGCAGCCAAAGACCCAAAGTGCAGATAATATTAAAAGGCAGTCAGGCAGCCAGTCAGACAGACAGACAGACAGACAGACAGACAGACAGACAGGCAGACGGCCAGTCAGCCAAGCAGCCAAGTTGGAGTTGGGCCGACCGACTGGCAGACACATTTCGAAAAGGGCCAACATGAAATTCCATGGGAGTCATTGACTTTATTATTATTGGTTGGCTGGCTGGCTGGCTGGCTGGCTTCTTGGCTGGGCTGCTTGACTTGGCTTGGCTTGGTTTGGTTTGCTTTGGCTCGGCTCGGCTCGAGTCGGCGGCTCGGCGGCTCGGCTTGACTTGACTTGGTTGAGCTGGTTGCTTGGTTAATTTTCTTGGGAAAGTTTTTGTTGAAAGTTGGGCGGCCTTTTCATTTTGTTTTTTTTTTTTTTGTTTTCGTTTTGTTTTTTGCAACTGAAGTAGTTGGCGAAACGAAGGTAAATACTTAATAATCATTGGGTAGGACATATGTCAGTGGATATCTATTGTAAGTTTATTTAGCTGCAATCGAAGCGATTGCAAAAATCAATCAAATTAACTTTCTAGTTAGCCCAGGGGATTATCTGTAATTTAAAGCAGAGATCCGCACATATTACTAGAATACTTTTATTTAATTACATTTTAGGGAGTTCCAAGACATTCTTTAAATAAGACAAACAAATTCTAGAGTGAAAGTGAATTTCATACTTGAATTGATTCAGATACAGATGCAAATACAGACACAGTATAAATACGGAAAAGGATACGGATACAGATACAGATCAAAATGGAGATACAGCTACAGATACAGATACAGATACAAACACGAATACGGATATAGATACAGATACAGATATAGATACGGATATAGATACGGATATAGATACAGATACAGATAAATATATACGGATAAAGACACAGATACAGATATAGATACGGATATAGATACGGATATAGATACGGATACAGATACGGATATAGATACGGATATAGATACGGATATAGATACAGATATAGATACAGATACAGATAAATATATACGGATAAAGATACAGATACAGATACAGAAATAGATTCAGATACAAATACAGATTCAGATACAGAAACAGATACGGATACAGATACAGATACAAATACGGATACATATATATAGATACTAATACAGATACAAACACAGATATATATACGGATACAGATACAGAAATGGATACAGTTACAGATACAGTTACATATAAAGATACGGATACAGATACAGTTATAGATACAGTTACATATACGGATACAGGTACGGATTTAGATACAAATACAAATACAGATACATGAACCATGTTCAGATACAGATACAGAAGCTCGCTTTAACTAGGTTCTAACTAACTGCAGCAATAAACCAGCCTGGAATTGAGGCTCGTTTCCCGAATAAATATTGCACAGGTAGATCGCAAATCTCAACTTTTCCAATTCTAGGTTAACTTTAAAGCATTTCGGGGTCTATAACCGAAATCTGTATGAACTTAATTTAAATAGTATCTTACCTCACTATAACAATTGCCCATCAATTCCAAGCGCATAAAGAATATTTGAAGCTGGTGAACAACATGCCCGTTGCTCAAAATGAAGTTTTTAGTAAATTCCAAACATACCTCGCCTTTTCTTGGTATCGCTGATTTGGCCCAAATAAATAATGCTGCATTCGGGGCCCTAACAAAATGACAGACAACAACAGCAGCAGCAAAAACACTAACGATGTCTGGCATTTATGGAATTTACAGAGTATGCTTTCGTTGGCCCTCCCGCCCTTCCATAGAAACCCGAACCTGAGCACTGGCTGAGGCATATTGATACTTTATTTATAGCGAAAACGAACAAAATTGGCAAATACCAAAAGTGCTGCGATCTGGGCGCAGCCCAAAGATTAAATAAGCAGAAAGTTTTATTTTTTTTTCTGCTTTTCTTCTCTTTTGTTGTTGTTGTTGTTGTTGTTGTTGTTGCTTTTTGTGGGCGCGCAAGTCAACAAAAATCAGCGGACGCCAACCGAAGCGCTGCGATCCGTGTCCCTGTCCGATCCCCGCATTGAAGTTTGCACAACAAAGAAGTTGCCCCAGTATGTGTGTGCGTGTGTGCGTGTGTGTGTGTGTGTGTGTGTGTATGGGTGATTGGGCAGCACTTTTGGTCCATTGGGTTTGCGGCTGCTATTGTTGGTAGCTGTCGGTGTCGGTGCAGCCGCCGCTTTGGGTATGAATGAATTTATGCTTTTGTTATTTTTATGTGTGTTTTCACTGGAATTTCGTTGAATACCTTCTACGGCATTTCGTTTGTGCATGTGTGTGTGTGTGTGTGTGTGAGTGTAGTTATTGTTGTTATGCTTTATATTTGTTGCCTCTCATGCTGCCGCTGCCCATCAATAAAAGGATACAAATTTGACTGTCCCGCTACTTTCAACGTAATTGATCCTCCTGACATCACACCGAACAGCTAATACGATAACTGCAAACATTAACTGCCTTAATACTAAATGAATAAATTAAATACCATCATTAAATACCATCACTAAAATGCACACACGTTCGTATTGATGCAAGCTCAGCTGGTCACACTGATTGCAAATCAACATTATTTTTTGCATTTGCAGAATTGAAAGAAAATCAAAAACAAAAATAATTCCGCAACTTGAGCCAGGTAGACAGTTGGTAGGTCAAAACGGCAGATACGTGCAAGCTGTGTTGTCGTTGTTGTTGTTGTTGTTGTCGGCTGCTTGTTATTGCTTCCCACGAGCATTAATAAAACTGACACGTCTTCCATATGCGAAGTTGCCGCGCCACATATTTTGGCAAAAACGTAACCGACTGCTGCGTCGACCTCGAAACGACGGCGGCGCCAAAGCGCACGTTGCAGCTAACGAAAATTGAGTGCAGGCAATTCAAATTAAATTTCAAACACACGCGCCTACTGCTCAGGTTGATGTCTTTGCTAAGCAGTTAAACTTGCAGCTGGCAGTGCTGTACAGCGTAGTTGCCAGCTGACGCTAGCTGGCAGATAGGTGGCAACGCTGCGCAACTAAGGGCGCGCGTTTGAAGCAAGAAAAATCTGAACTGATAAGCAATCGATGAACGGGTTTTATTTGTCAACATGTTTGTAATGCAAATCAATACAAAGTTTATGACAATTGACTACTGATAATGACTAGCGACAGTTATGGGACTTGTCATTAATGAATTGCCAGCCAGCTGGAGATACAAGCACAACAAACAGCTAAACACACACACGAATAGATTCAGAAATCTGTTTGCTGATAAGAACAACAGCAGCAGCAGCAGCAACAGCAGCAGCAGCGGTCATAGAAAACAATTATGGACTCGGCTCACGTAGTACGCGAACTGAACTCGGACGCAACGCAAGGCGCAGAAATCTACAAGTTAATCGGCAAACAGGTCAGTTTAGAATAGAGAGAGACCCCAGCAAAGATGCGCAGCCTAAATCGCTTTCGTCTGATAACCTTCGATGTGACCAATACGCTGCTGCAGTTTCGCACCAGTCCCGGCAAGCAATATGGCGAAATCGGAGCGCTATTCGGTGCGCGCTGCGACAACAATGAGCTGGCCAAGAACTTCAAAGCGAACTGGTGAGTACAGCAATTGGCAGATAAGCTACGCATTTCAGCAACTCCTTGTGGCTTGCAGGTACAAGATGAACCGGGACTATCCGAATTTTGGCATTGAGACGTCGCCGCGACTCGAGTGGCAGCAGTGGTGGCGTCAGCTGATAGCAGGTAGGCGATAAACTGCAGCTGGTTCAAAGTGCAAAAGCTAAAATACTCATTGATTTGCTCTCAAGGCACTTTCGCGGAGAGCGGCGCGCCCATACCCGATGCGAAATTAGATAACTTTGTCAGCCATTTGCTGGAACTGTACAAGACGACCATATGCTGGCAGCCGTGCAACGGCAGCGTGGAGCTGCTGCAGCAGCTGCGCAAGCACAACCAGCCGGATAAACACTGCAAGGTCGGCGTCATAGCCAACTTTGATCCGCGACTTGAAGCGCTACTGCGCAACACAAAACTTGATCGGTACTTGGACTTTGCGCTCAACTCGTATGCGGCAAAGGCAGAGAAACCGCAGGCGGCTATATTTGAGCGTGCCATGGCTGAGTCTGGGCTGGCAAAGCTACGGCCGGAGGAGTGCCTGCACATTGGGGATGGACCCACCACGGACTATCTGGGCGCCAAGGAGGTGGGCTGGCATGCGGCGCTGGTGCACGAGAAGAGCTATTCGTATCTGGCCAAGAAGTATGGCGTGGACATCAACCGGAATCACGTCTTTCCCAGCCTCTATGACTTTCACAAAAAGCTTTCTGACGGTGCTGTCGTCTGGTAGACAATTATAATTAAATGTGGTCTTAATTAACAAATCGTATTGTACACTTTAAAAAGCTACGTTTCTGGCTTTGGCACCTGCGCAATGAATATGTTGCCCAGCGGGTTCTGTGGCTTTTGACTTTCGTGATCGTATTGGGGGCCAATGGCCCACAGGGATTCCAGATCATAATCCTCGCGTGCCTTGGGCGAGAATATGTGCAGTGCAATGTTACCTGCGGGAATGGAATATAAATAAATGAGTGGATTTTAGACAGTATGACAACTGCTCACCCAAATCCATGGCCATCCAGTCTCGACTCTTTTCGCCCTCGATGCGGGGCAGCAAATCCCCCTTCGCCCGCTTGATTTTGAACATGCGGCGCACGAATTCCGCTGTGGCAAGCATGTGGCGGTAGCTGCGTGCGCTGCAAACGACCAGATGATCCACATACTTGAGCTCCTCGGGCACATAACAAACAAAAATATCATCCACATTCTCCTTGCGCAACAGCTCCACCAGATCCTCCACGTCAAAAACGCCGCGAACGCCTCCTGACAGGAAATAAGGATAAACAATGGACACAAAATTATACTGACCGCACTTACTCTTTAAATTGAGACCGAAGTACTGATCCTGCTCGACTTCCGCGGGCAGTTCGCGCTCTTGATAACGCGCCTCCTCCACATCGAAGATCTCCTGTGCCTCCTCATCCCGGAATACTTTGTATTTATTTTGTACGCCGCCCGCAACAAACGATTTCTTCTCTTGCTGTTCCTTTACATTGGGATTAGTGGGCTGCGGCTCGGGTTTGCTAAACTCATGATGAAAGCCGCGCAGAATAGGCACGCTCAATCGTTTGTCGTGTATTAAGCGAAAAATGCGTGTTTTTAACATATTTCAACCAAAAATTATTACGCGACCAAAAACAGCTGTTTGTGTATGGGCATGCCAACGTGTTCAAATTGCAGGCCAGTGTGACCGTGCTAACCACAACTTCGCTAATCGATAGATGAAGCGATAACTTTTGTTGCTCGTCATCGAAACATCAATTACTGCTAATTTTGCGGAAAGAAAAAAGGCGAAAGAGAAAAACATTACTAATCAAAACTAAACGCACGCATTTAGTGTTTTAAACGCAATTTCCAGTGAATAATGTGGCAAATGCTGACCGCTTGCATTTAGTTATTAATATACAATTGCCGCTAGCACACGCGCTATAGCGTGTTAGCAACAGACAACACAACCGTCAGACCGTCGCCGCAGTAGTCAAATTTTCTTACGCACTATTTACTCGGTCGTTTGAGTCGTGTGTTGGTGTGTCGGTGTGTCGAAAACAAAACGCATACGAAAGAAAGATAGAAAAGCAAGCAGACATTACAAATTACTCCAAATTCTAAAATAACAAGCAACACACAAACCAAGTGTACAATGACTGAGACGAATGCAGCAGCGCCGAAAAGGGACAACACACCCGCCAGGCTTAAAATCGAACAGGAATATAATGACAAAAAATCTGGATCGGGTTGGCTTCTTTACTACAAGGTAAGTACCATATCAGTGTACACCCAGCTACTGGCAAGAAGGGCACCAGCACACACCAACATGTACATTACATACGCATACACACACTCGGGCGCACACATACAATTTTATTCCTTTTTGATTCGATTTCCACGAAAATGTGATGAGTGCGCAAAAGGCTTCTGCAGATGCCGATGCCTCCACCACCAACACACACACACACACACAGCAAAAAAAAAACAACTACAAATGTATGTACATACATGGATGTGTGTCTGTGTAGGCACGCTGCTCACGGTCAGCCCCACTGCGCTATTATTTTTTGTTGCTGTCGCTGTCATGTGAGCGTGCGCCTGTATTTGTAGCTTTTGGTGTCGGTGTTGGTCAGAAGCAGCAGCAGCAGCCCAACTCCGGTCTTTGGCTTTAGTTTGTGGCGCTCGCGCAACGTTTGGCCGAAAATTTCACAGGCACATTCTCTCAAACATACACAGACACATTCACCCGACTCATTCACTCACACACACACACACACACACATATATATACAAAGTGACGCTAACGCTCACCTGCTGCACTTTGCATGCGCTCTCGCTTGTTGCTCTTGGATGCTGCTTTTGCTTCTTCTTCTGCTTCTACTCTTTCCTTGCAATTCGCTCAAATTCTGATTTCTGTAGCCATTTTCCTACACTTGTTCTCTGACTAGACATGCACTCTGGCCTCAGGCACGGTGTTTACGATTAGGATTGCCAAAAATTGTTTCTAAGTTTATTATTATTATTGATAAAAAAAAGCGCCGTACGCGTCGCAAGCATTTGGAGTTCTGCGAATTCGTTGTCGGTATTTGTACACAATTCTAGGGAAAATCCATACAAACATACAAATTTCTGTGTGTGTATGTTTTGAATTTCATTTGTTTTGATTGCTGCCCGCTGATAATTGTAATTGTTGCTTGCATTACACACATATTTCTATAAGCATTGTACAACACTTTATTTTTACAGTTGTAAAGAAGGATCAAGGCGTAAATTAGTATGGAAAAGTTTGATGAGCTGTCGCTTAACAAAAATAAATTGGCAGTGCGGGACCTGCCAATGCAAGTAGTTGAAGTCTCTCACACACACACACAGACATACATAACTAATTTTTGCGCTTGGCACAAAGGGCATACGTCTCGGTCTGGGCCTGGGTTTCTCTTTGCTTCCCGTTGCCTCTTCGCTACTTCGTCTTTGCCAGAGCTGGAGTTTCTGCTTTATGGCCAGTTCCGGCGAATTGTGTCTTCAGCTGCTGCTTCAGCCCGCTTCATCGTCGCTTTGCGACTCACTTGAATTGGGATTTCACGGAATTTAACTTCGCAGTTAGGATGACATTGCCTGCTGCGTGTAGCTGTATCTGTATCTACATGGATCTGTGTGTGTGTGTGTGTGTGTGTGCGCGCGCGTGTGGGTGTATATGTATGTGTGTGTTCGAATTTTTATGTAATGAGCTCAATTTGTTGTTGGCGTTGTTTATGCTCCGTTCATCCTTTGTGTGCGTGTGTCACTGCGGTCCTTTGTGCGCTGCGAGGATAATCTAACTTTCCAACTAACTCGGCAACAGCAGAGCCAAGCTTGATGAAATCAAAATTGTTTTTCGCTTGAAAGCATCTCCTAATGAATTCTATTGAATTATGCTCCTCCTCCTCCAACACTAATCGGAGCAGCAATAAAAGTAATATTAATAATAGCAGCAAAAACGGGCAACATTGTTATGCTATATGCGCACTTCAATACACGAATCTTTTGGCAGTACCGTTTTCTTGGTCTGCTTTCTTATGTTGTTTATCACCTCTGCTTCTCCTCCTTATGACAGCAGCAACAGCAAAAAATACCGCACAGACTGTGACGAACTCGTTGCCCACATTCTATGCAGTTCGGCATTTGTTGTTGTGCCGTTGCAATTCATGCAGCATGCAATTCCGATACCCCGTAAAACATGCGAATTCGCAGAAGTGTATATTATTAGTTGTAATGTTTAATAAATTTAAGCACAATTGAATATCGCCTCTATGCGATTCTCATACGGTGAAGTAACCGTCGAGTCTTGGAGTACAAACGAGTTGGTGATAAAAAAAATTTGGGGAAAAGAGAGAGATTTAATTAGAAAAAACTAGAGAGCAAGAACGCAAGAGAGCGAGGGTGTTATATACATTGATTACATTGCCACATAGGCTTAAAATATTTATATGTATGTACATACATACATATACCCATATATGTACATATGTTTATATATTTGTTAAATTGCTTAGAGTGCACAGCTAATTGAATCCGTTATTTTTGGATAAACCGTTGCTGATAAACGGGAACTGGTAACAGTTACGCTGCTGATAACCGCATTGATGCTCATCGCAATTTTCTGTTTTGTCTATACGCATATTGTAATGTGCCTGCACTGCTTTATCTCTGCTGTGTCGCGCTCCCCTTCTCTTCCTCCCTCTCTCTCTCTCGCTGGCTCTTTTCATACATATGTACATATGTACGTTATCGGGCAATGTTCTTTTCAATTAAATTTCATAACACTCGCCAGTCGTCAGCCTCAATTTGTGCTGATTATCGAGGAGTGGCTTGACGACTTAAAACTGATTCACCTACTTAATGACGAACTGACAATTAGCAACTGATTTTTCGCGCTGCAATCAAAAACTGCGTCGCATACAATTCACAACACAAAATAAAGAAGGCAGAAACAAAATAAAGTAAATTAACTTCTTTTATGCCGCCTGACTCGTTAGTCATCTGCCCCGCACTCCCCTCCCTGCTCTTTAAAATCTACTCATCAGAAAATTGTACTATTTATAGTGGCCAGCAATTGGCGTTAGCCAACTCTTGGCCAGACGACATTGAACTTGTTGTTAGTTCTGATTTGATATTGAGCGCTTGCAGTTACAGCTGCGACAGCTGATAATAAAGATAATACCGTTAGCCATGCATGCACATACATGTCGCGCTCATTCTGACCAATTAGTCATGCTAACGTGGCCCAGCTCGACCTGACGGAGAAGCCAGCCAGTCGCTAGGCCCAGATAACAAACCGATGGAGCGACTAATGACTGGCCGATAGTTGCGAGAGGGCAACCCCAAAAAATATTATCTAGGTACATACGCGCACTGCATGTGTGAATCACACTGAGAAATTCCACTCTTTATATCACTGCGAAATGCCATAATTCCTTTTTAATAAAATTCCACCCACACATCGTTAAATGTCTGTTTTTATTTATTTAATTTTGTTTTGTTTTTTTTTGTACAGGAAATAAGTGATAAATGCGATCGTGAGGCTAAAGAGCAACAGTTTACTACGCTAGAATCGGAGCGTGCGCCGAATCGGGGACTGAACCGTTATAGGGATGTGAATCCCTATGATCATTCGCGCATTGTGCTAAAACGCAGTAGCGTAGACTACATCAATGCCAACCTGGTGAAGGTGAGTTAAAAGTACGTTATTCGAGCTGATGTCTTTATATAATATCGTAATATCGTTGCAGGTGGTACGCGCCGATCGTCAATATATACTGACACAGGGTCCGCTGCTGGATACGGTGGGTCATTTCTGGCTGATGGTCTGGGAGCAGAACTCACGCGCCATTCTTATGCTCAACAAGCTGGTGGAGAAGAAACAGGTTAAATGCCATCTGTATTGGCCGGATCAGATGGGGCCGAAGCAGGCACTTAATCTGAAGGATGTCAAGTTGTCCGTAGAGCTAATTTGCTGCGAGAACTATCAGAACTTTGTGCGGCGGTGGTTCAAGTGAGTTAAGCCAAAAATACGAGAGGACCTAGAAGACACAATCATTAGTTTATTTCTCGACTCACATCATGCGAATTCTTTCACAGATTAACTGATCTCGAAACGAATAAAAGCCGTGAGGTTATGCAATTCCATTATACGACCTGGCCAGACTTTGGCATACCCAGCTCGCCGGATACTTTTCTAAAGTTCTTGCAACTGGTGCGCGACTCGGGCGCTCTGGGGGCGGATGTGGGCCCAGCCGTGGTGCACTGCAGTGCCGGCATTGGTCGCTCCGGCACATTTTGCCTGGTCGACTGCTGTCTGGTGCTTGTGGAGAAGTACGGCGACTGCAATGTGGCGAGTGTGTTGCGCGAGCTGCGCAGCTATCGAATGGGTCTCATACAGACGGCCGATCAGTGGGACTTTTCATATCAGGCAATCATCGAGGGCATCAAAAAACTGAACGATCCCGTACGTACATTAACTTTGCTGAACTTAACAATTGCGTTCAAAACTAAATTTTAAACAGAGCAAGCTTGGAATAGCGAGAGTATTATCGAAATCTTGTCATACCTGTCATTAAGTCGGCATTCGTGAAGCAAAATTGATCATTTTGTATAAGAATTTGTTACAGAAAACTACAAATTGTATAAATTGTTTGTTATTGTATTTTGGGTAAAAGTTAAACCGTGCTCAAAATCAAAATACTTTTTTACGCGCGCCCAAAATTAGATGTTCCAAGTCGAATATAAGAACAATTGTAACTACTTTAATTTTGAGCGCAATTCTTTATTAGTTCATGATGAGATACATCTTGCTAACCGGACATATTTGATCATTTGCAGAGCTTTCTGGGTGTCGAGGAACCAATCATTAGTAACGACATGGACTCACACGGGCAGGAGGAGCAGCCGCCACCATTGCCACCGCGTTCCCATTCGCTGAACTTGCCCTTGGCGCCCATCACGGGTGGTGTGCTCTCCCTGGATATGCATGCAGCCCAGGCTAATGGGGATAACTTGGGCGAGGGGGATGGCATCACCGACAAACAGACCTTGAGCAGCAAAGATGCGCTCAACAACATTATTATCAATCAGCCAGAGATTGTCAATGCCGAGGTGGCAGACAGTCTGCTTAACAATCGTCCACTGCCACCGCTGCCGACGTTACCGCAGCACAGCGAACAGGAATCGGATAGCGATGACAATGAGGAATACGATGTGAACGAGGACGACGAGGACGAGGAGTACGAGAACATCAATGAGCAGGAAGCTAATGGCGATGTCATCATGTTGCCACCACACGTAGATGACGTGAATGCCAACAGCGAGAAGCCAACTGCGGTGGATCAGCATAAGGTCAATGGCATTGATTTGACAGCGAGGTACACCTGACTGCATAAATATATATAAGGCTTAAGCGTTATTAATATATCTATATAACTTTTACAGTACCGGCGACGAGCTGAAGCGGCGAAAACGCAACGAATACCAGTCGAATCTGGAGCAAAAAGTCAACGAAATTAAACGCAAACAGCGTGAGAACGAGGACAATCAGCAGGCGGCGAAAAAACGAAGGTCATTACTCACATATATTGCCGCTGGCGTTGTGGTGGGCGTCATTGCCGCCTACGCGTACACCAAGCTAGCCTAAGTCCTTGCCCCTATCAAGCCAGAAAGTAGCCCGTAGATGTAGCAATTATCAGCATGTAGTGGCAGTAGCGTGACAATGATCCCAATTCTGGGCATATGTATGTATATGTATGTAGGTCTTATCGAGCTAACATCAAATGTCAGCGCGACACAAATACTTGCACACACACACGAACACAAACAAGCAGAAACACACACACACACAGAGACACTCCCACAGACACACTCACGCACACACAGACACACACGCACACGAGTTGGACAGCCGGCAATGCGAAAAAGTCGCATTCGTTGAAACGATAATGACAATGCATATTAGGGAATTTTTTTTATATATAAAAATAAAAAAGAAAAGAAGACAAAAAACGGAGAAAAAAAATACAACTGCAACATTTAAACTTAGGAATTCGGTGTAGCAGTAAGCCGAGCACAAAAGTAGATTCTTGCGCAATAGACTGACATTTTAGAACAAATTTTTCTCGATACACTTAAAAAAAAAAAAAGAAAAGAAAAAACGGAATGAATCACCCAAGCAAAGTGAAACAGAACAAACCTTAAAAAAGTATATATATATATATCGACTTGAAATATCCGTGCAAATGCATTTTTATTTTGCGCTCGCTAACTATGTACAATTTTTCATTAATTTGATATAAAATAAAACAAAAGAAAAGAAAAGAGAAAGAAACGTTGCTATCTAAAATATTTTATATGTATATTGTGCGCACATAGACACACACACACACACAGACGACGACCACGCCCACGCTTCACTTGTTGTTAAACACTTACGTTTCGTAAACATTTTGAACTGTGAGTCTGTACAATGCATGCATATGTGTATATGTACCATGTGTTGTTATTTATGAAGAATTATGATGGAACACTTGTTTAACTAATTTAACGAGTACGCACGGCAATGAATGCATTAATGTGCCAAAAGAATGAATAACCATGAATAATGAGAAATTGAATTGATACGAAAATTGAAAAAAATCGCTATTAATTGGCCATTTGTTTTGCACGCTTAACTACTGTAACTACCAAAACAGAAGAATTAAAAAATTTGAAAAATACAGGCGCCGATTAAAGCAATAATAATGCAAATATTTAGCACAAATATAAAAATAAAAATAATAATGGAAAATACTATATGATACGAGCGAAACCATTTTGTATTCTAACAATAACATTTAATTTATGTAAACTTAATGCAGATAAGATGATAACAAGAATGAGTTGAAACTATTTAATGGTTTTTAGTCGTAAGTCGTATGCCCCAGATACTATCTGCCTCCCTCACATTTTCCAGCATATATACAAGTACATAAACAACAAGTACATATAAATAAAATACACATAATATACGTGTAGCGTAAGAGAAGCGCAATTAAAACTGAAAAAATTATTTTTATATGTGTAATCCACAAATTTAACACCTAAATCTAACTACCACCCACAATGAGAAAGCGAGTGCGCTTAAAACGACGACGACGACGACGACGACGATGATGATTTTTATAATATACATACATATATATATATATATATATATATATATATTTAAACCTATTGCAAAAATACATATTTATATAAAATATATATATATTTAAAAAGTAACAAATGAACAATACCTATAGTAATGCCTAGTTAACTGAACATTGGCTAAGTACACTGACACAAAATAAGCAAACACACACGTAATTTATATAACTATATACATATAAATATATGCATATATATACAATATATATATATGTGTATATATAAATATGTATATAGATATATGCATATATGCCTAATGAGTAAAGAGACAAAAACGAAAGTATTCAAATAAAGTTACATTTAAGATACAAAGCCAAGCCCATGTGGCGACTTTTCAATTTATTAAAAATTATGATTTCTGTGCTCTTATTTGTTTACAGACGCCCAAACGCCACATAGTAGTGCCTAAGACAAAGTTAACTGCCCGGCAATCGCTCCATTTATCAGGGAGGGCGTGCCAGCGCCCTCTGCATCAACAGAAAGAAAGACGATGAACATATCATTTCCTATATTTGTAGCAACTAATTAACAAATAAATAATCATTTTTTAAATGGCTTTTTGTATGCACAAACATAAACATCAATTTATGTTTTCTTCCAGCCATCCATTTTAACTGTATTTTGAATGTAGTGAAATGTAACGCTTTCGTAATGCTAGACCCACTCGCCATATAACGTAATGCACTGATTATCGATATATTAAATGTTATCGTACATATGCGATAATTGTGTCAATGTACTCGATGCTGTCACATCAAAGTACTCAATCGACGACTTTGTTTTCGTTCTGCGACTATAAAGAAATTTGTTTTAAAATCATTGTTATAGCAGCAGGTGCTGGCTCTAAATTCGACTTATTATTAACGAACTATAATGCCTGCCATAGAAGAGGCACAAATCACTAAATATCTCTCAAAGGTACGATGAGTCATGTTCTTGCTGGGCATTATCCGTCCTGTTGCCCGTCACGCAATATTAAATTGTTGATTAATTAATGACCACATTCACAGTATAAAAATGTTGCGGCCACCAGGAAAGATGTTGTCGATGTCGTTACCACGTATCGCAGTCTGACATACGACCTGCAAAAATTTGGTGAGCTGAGGCATTTTTGATGAGTAAGAATAATACAAATAATAATAAACAATTCTTCCCCCAGTTTTCAACGATGGAAGCTCAAAAGATTTATTTGCACTGCAGGGCACCATTCCGGTGGTCTATAAAAGTAAGTGTATTTTTCATGCTATTTTAAATGAATCAAAACATATATTGATTTCACAGACAACACCTACTACATTCCCATATGCATATGGCTGATGGATACCCATCCACAAAATGCGCCTATGTGCTTTGTGAAACCAACGCCAACCATGCAGATCAAGGTGTCCATGTATGTGGACCACAACGGCAAGGTGTATTTGCCCTACTTGCACGACTGGCAGCCGCATAGCTCGGATCTGCTGTCGCTTATACAGGTTATGATTGTGACATTCGGTGATCATCCGCCCGTTTACTCCAAGCCGAAGGAACAAGTTGCTGCGCCATATCCATCGAATTGTAAGTACAAATGAATCTTAAATGTTTTCATGCACTAATGCCTCGCATTTCAGCTTTCATGCCTCAGCCAGGCGGTCCAGGTGCGTCAAATCAGTTTCTACCTTATCCAAGCGCGACTGGCGCTAGCGGTGGTAGCTTTCCGCCATATCCCACTGGTGGCAACTTTATGCCCTATCCACCGACTGGTGGACCGGCAGGTAACTCCGCCGGCTATCAGCCCTACATGAATTACCCACAGCCGGGAGTCTATGCGGGCAGCGCTGGATATGTGAGTGTAACGAAACTACGATAGATACACAATATAAATATATATATTTTACTCGTCTTAGAATCCCGCGGGTAATGCCAATCCCAGCTCAACGGGTACAATTACAGAGGAGCACATTAAGGCATCACTTATTAGCGCCGTTGAGGACAAGTTGAGGCGTCGCATACAGGAGAAAGTAAATCAGTATCAAGCTGAAATAGAAACATTGAATCGCACCAAGCAAGAACTGGTGGAGGGTAGTGCCAAGATTGATGCCATCGTTACTCGCTTGGAGCGGGAGGAAGTTGATTTGCAGAAGAACATTAGCTTATTGAGGGATAAGGAGGAGGAATTGCAGAAAAGTCTGGAGACCCTTGAGAGTGCAGAAGCCATTGATCCTGACGAGGCAGTTACCACAACTGCGCCATTATATAGACAGTTAGTGATTGACTATATTTGATGTTGTGTCCTGTGTCTAATTGACCTTTTTATAGGTTACTTAATGCCTACGCTGATGAAGCTGCCACAGAGGATGCCATCTATTATTTGGGCGAGGGTCTGCGCGGCGGAGTTATTGATCTTGAGACGTTCTTGAAGCATGTGCGCACACTATCTCGCAAGCAATTTATTTTGCGCGCTACAATGCAAAAGTGTAGACAAAAGGCGGGATTGGCTGGCTAGTAGGATGTGGAGTGTTCAGTATATTGCAGTAATAATTTCATTTGCAGTTTTCAAGTGCAACTAATATTCAAGCAGCACACAATTGATATGTTATTATAATATATTCGGTATTGCTTTAAGTTTAAATTGAATCTTTGAAATTACATACATGTATATGAATAAACCCAACGTACGTTCGCACGCCTATTAATAATTTTATTCATGTATATATTTATCTTTAAGATCGGAATGCTCACAATTGATTCGGTTCTCATACATATATGCCAACGGTAAGTAAAAGAAACAAAATGCCAAATCCAAGGAATATCGAGGCGCACAGGCTGATTAAAAGCTCCTTAATTAATGTGTTTTCTTTCGTGCTCTTCCGCGAGACAACAAAAACAAAGAACCAGGCTGTGAAAAATGTACCAATAATGAGCAGCACTGTGGCTAGGTGTGGAAAGACCGCTGGGTTGATGGGCGAAACGTAGCGCTGCATAGCCTCCATGCTGCGTAAACAAATGCAACAGGTAAGTGTAATTATGTTAGGATTTATTGGTTTAACTTACATTCAATTGGTATTTTAATTTTTGTTAATTTCTTGTAGTTGTACGTGGCCGGCCTGCAAGCGGTAAGGGTGCTGTTTTACTTATCGATTTATTACATTGTCCAACACTGTTTGTCAAATCGATAATGCCGATGTATCGTTACATGAGCAACAATTCTTTCATCTCTAGTCAAAACGTGGTTTTGTGTAAAATTAAAAAAAAAAATAATATAAAAATAACAAGATACGCTTTTTAATGTCCACAAGAAATACAGTGATATTAAAATATATCAAAGACTGGCATGATGAGCGATGTTAGTATATATACACACTAAGAACTGTATGTGCAAGCATATTCACACGAATTCTCTTTGTTTGCAGCTTGAGGAAATGGACAGTGAGCAATTGAATGAGCTGGAATCAATTCTTTATGCGTCTATACACTACAATGATGCAACCAGCGAACAGCAGCAACAACAGTCGACACTGGACATGGACATGGACGCACAGAGTATGCCACCACCGCCTCAGCAAAAAGAACAACAAAAACAACACCGCATTGTCAGCGGCAAGCGTGTGATCAACAATGCGGTAGCAAAGCCCCGATACTGGGAAGAAGCCAAAAGTGAAGCTGCAACGCATAACGATGTCTCGAAATCGAAGACTAACACGCCTGTTGAATGTAAGTACGATTTTATATAGTTTATGTGTGTACATACAAACAGGCAAGAACAGTAACCTCTGGCGTGCCAAAAATTGTAAAAAAAAAAAAAAATACTGTTGCAGTCCCATAGCGCAGGTCCAATCAGTGTTGCCAACTCTGCTGTTTTCCAGCTAACTTTGGCTGTTTACATACAACAGCTAATTTAGCTAATTGTTTGAAGTGGAAGCTAACAACACTGTGTCCAATATATATTTTTGGAAGGACATAGTTGGCAACGCAGGCCCAATCTGTATTGCAAATTCTGCCGTTTCAAAGCTAAATTTGGCTATTTCCAAAAGCTAATTTAGCTACTTGTTTGAAGCGGAAGTTGGCAGCACTGTCCAATATATATAATATATTTGGAAGAACGAAATGTTTTCAACTATGACGAAATTAAAATAGTCTTAAAATCAATAATTTATCTTGTCCATCTTGGATTGAGATTTTAAGGGCGAAACATTTCGAATCGATGATGCCTAGAAAAATTCGAAATTCATTTTGTAGCACAAGCATTTACATTCAAAATTACATATTGAATTCTCTGGCTGGCAATCATGCTCCGTATGATGATGGCCATTCCACGTGCCCTTCTCAGTCAGTTAAGCGATATCAATTACAATATTGTTGTGCTAATTATGCTGAAGCTGTTGTGCATCGTAACATTAATGGACTATTATTATGTCCATTATGGCTACGATCTGATCTATTGGCTTGATGAGATTTGCCGGGAACCGGTGGAATATCTGCTATCCGGTATTGTTCTGGCTGTCGCTGTGCATGTTGTGATGTCGTGTGTCGAGGTCACGATACTCTCGACACTTATTAGACGCAACACGTGCCGCTACAATAAGCCCCGGCAACACTTTGAAGAGCGCTATAGACGCTTTGTGGTCATGCGTTTGGTGCAACAGCTCGAGAATGCTTTGCAAATGCAGAAACGCTTTACTGGACAGGGCCAGCAGAACGAACAGGAGATGGCAATGCTAGAGGACTTGCACTCATCCCATCAGCAGATCCATCAAGCTGTTAACGATTTTCGCAGCTCGGTGGCTGTGCTGCTGTGGCCAAATCGGGCCGATCTCCAAATGGACGCGTTCATACTCTATCACATCGATGAGGGGCAGCTAGACGAGCTCCAAAGTCAGGGCTATAGTTTGAGTCAGCCCGACAACAGAGATATTCGTAACGAGCATTTAAAATGCCTGCTCAATCCACCTGGATATTAACAATGACAAATAAATGTGCATCAGTATCCAGCAATAAAAAGTAAAACGTTTCTCGTTCTGCCAATAAACGACTTTTTCCCTTCTTAATATTCCTGTAGCTGCCACATCAGAGGAGCCTGGATCCACTGCGGAGCAGGAGAAGCCCGTTGCACCACCCGCTGCTGCTGCTGCTGCTGCTGCTCACGCCTTGCCAAAGAAGGTCAACGGTCCCAAAAAGCCGGCTCCACAGCCGAAACAGCCCAAAGCTCTCAATCCAGTCCAGCAGCTGCTGCAGCAGCAACAACAAATGCGTCAACCACCAAAGATGCAGCAGCAGCAGCAGAAGAAACAGCCACAAGTACAAAAACCACCGAAACCACATTCAACCTCAAATACAAAAGCGAACGAAAACGATGAACCGGAACGTTTTGATCAACGCCTGCTGGTGGCCATACCACCTAATTGGTCGAAGGTGAAACGGGAGCAAGGTCCCTTTGGCAAGGCCAGCCGCAAGCTGGAGCAGTTTCAGCGTCTGGCAGAGAAGCGACAAAAGACCAAGCGCGTGCAGGCCAACAAGAAACTGAAGCCAAACGCGGTGGGCCAACCCTTGGAGCTTATCAATCTCGTAGACAGTGAGAAATCCTCGGATGCGGATGACGTGATGATTGTGCCGTTGCCGCCAGTGCCCATCATAGACGTGGACGCCAGCGACGACGAGGAGCAGCAGCAGCAGCAGCCGACTACACAGCCCTATATGGAGGAGAACGCCATGGATGCGGCCGATGTTAGTCTGGGCGGCGAGTGCGCCACAGAACAGTTGACCATGGTGCCGCAGCTGCACTCGCCCTGCAGTTCGGTGTTGTCCAGCGATGATTTTATTGTGCAAAACGATACCTGCCGCCTGCTTGCCGAACGAGCGCGTGCCACGGACGAGGATCTTCTGGTATTGACGGAGAATGCCATCAGAGAGGCTGCCGAGCCGGCCAGCCAAGCGGAGCAGGAGCAGGCGGCTGACACCTCATCCGAATACGAATTCGTGCCGCCATCCAGGCTCGAAGAGATCAAGCAAAACTATCGTGTGGATGAGCAACAATTCCGCGCACTTGATGTCTACGAAAGCGAATCAGATCTCACCGAGAGCGGCGTCTACTGCAAGGCCAAGCAGAAGGTTGTGCCCACAATTATACGTAACGTCGACTCCGAGTCGGATACAACGGACGTGGAGCAGGTCGTGGAGGTCAGTGTGAACAAAACGAAACGTCTGCGCAAGCGACGCGCCTCGAGCACCAACCAAAGCCAATCTGATCCGAACAATGAATGCGATAAGGATGACGACGACACGGACAGCGATGATGCCGGTGTCCAGGCAACGGGTGTGCCTGGCATAGCACGTGGCATGGCTGTGGAGCGCTGCAAGCGTAAGATTCGACGCATCAGTCAAAGGCGCAGCTCGGACAGTGCCGTTCCAGCGGATGTTAAGAAAGCGCCAATGCAGGAAGAAGCTAGCTCGGGATCCGGGGCTGAAGAGTCTCTGCCCACGGCACGTCAAATTGCCGAGCGACTGCTGCAACAGGAACAGGAAATGGAACGCACGCCGGAACAGCAGCAGCCGGCTCAGCCCCAGATGCAGTTAGCTCGTGAGAGCGATGAGGCAATGGACAGCATTGGCTCCGACGCGAACACTGAGGATGAAGCTGAGATGAATGATGCCATGACGGAGCGCATAAGCGCAGTCTTCAAACGCATTGACAAGAATACAAGACGCGCCAAAGCCAAGCAGAGTTCGCCGGATAACAGACAGCAACAGGTGGTCAGCACCACGGATCCAGAGCAAGAGTCAGAACTGGAGCTGCAAGCGGCGGATGCTGAAGCTGAATTGAGCATCACGGAGCTGCAGCCAGAGACAGAACCAGAACGGGAACTAGCTTTGGTGCAAGTAGAGCACAACATGGCGGGGCTCAAGGAGAAGCTGCGTGGCGGAGATTTGGTTGGTTGGAATGATGAAATGTGTCGCTTCTACAATGACAGCTGGCATGGCGAGAATATTAGCTTACATAAGATACTTAAAGCCATGTCAGGTAGGTGTTGAATCTTTTATTTACACACAATTGAAATCACTTAAAGCTATTCTCTTCTCTTTTCCAGGACAACGCAGCGATTGGCGCATAGTAAATGCCGATCGTTTTCCGGTTATGCGCAAACGCTCGAATCTAAAGTGCACCAATTGCTTTGAAATGGGCCACATGCGCTCCAAGTGCCCGCGTCCACGCAAGCCCGTCGTTTGCTACACCTGCGGCATGACGGGCCACGCCGAACCGCGCTGCCCAAACGCCATTTGCCTGGGGGTAAGTTCCAAGTACATAAACTACAGACTTCAGCTCGGGTATTATATTATAGCTATATAACTGAATGTGTAACCTCTGGAAAAAGGCATCTCTGATGCCAGATTCTTGATGAGTAGCTATTGTCGAGTCGATCGTCTGTTTCTATGTACTATTAAATACTTTTAATACTTGTTCGTGCTCGATCGGATATCTTCATCATAGAGCATCTATTCTATCTATCTATTCCCCTTTTGAATCTTTAACATGTTGTGAAGAGTACAATCTAATGAATTACTTTTTAGCTTATCTATTGCAATACAAGTAACCATAATTTATATTTCACAGTGCGGCGCCAAGCAGTCGATGTATGTGCAAAAGTGCAACAAATGCTCGTTTCACAGTCGCATGGTCTGCCAGCTGTGCAAGATGCGTGGCCACAGCACCGACATGTGTCCCGACAAGTGGCGTCGCTATCACTCCACCGTATGTTAAATTGACGCCTACTATTTACTATCAGGTTAATCTCTCTTATTTGTCCACAGACCCGCACCAATGCACATCTGGAGAGCAATGTGCAGTATCGTGTCAAGCACTGCAGCTATTGCTCGTCGCGCGGGCATCTGTTTGAGGAGTGTCGTCATCGCATTGGCGAGTATCGCAATACGAACTACACCAGTCGCATTATATCACATCAGAAGGTCTACAAGGATCGCAGTGGACCCATTAGCTATCTGACAGATTTGCGTTCCTTTTTTGATATCGATACGCCTTTTCATTTCAACTGGAGCTCGGAGTTTTCAAGGAACAGCTGCTATGCGCGTTTTCTCAAAGCAGTTGGCTTGGCTCGTCCTGTAGACAAACGCAAGAAATTCGCTCCAACGATGCACCTTAAAGTCTACACGAATGACTATGTGCCAAATCCACAGGCGAGAGCCGCGCGTGGCACAGCACCAGCTACTTCGTCTGTGACAATCGAGGAGCTGCCAGCGGAGCCTAATGCAACCAATTCAGTTGTAGTTTTTGAAGAGTCAGCAACTACATCTGCAACGGTTGCAGAACCTGTGCAGATACAGCAGGGGGAGATTAGCAGCAATTATCAGAGCAAGCCCAAAGCAGCTAAAACGGCCAACAAGCCCAGCAGCAGCAAGCTGAGCACAGCATTTGGCAGGTCCACAGTCACACCACACGACTTAGACTCGGATTCGAATTACAGCTTCTCGGAGCACTTTGAGGTGACAAGCTCGACAACAACATCAAATGAAGCTGAGCACGTGCAGGCGCAGGCGCAGACGAAAACCGGACCCATGGAAAATCTGCCCGATATTATACCACTCAGCTCGGCTGCGGATGGGTATGGAGATGAGGCTGAGGATGGGGATGGCGGCGACATAAGCAACAGCAGCCAAGGCATTTCCATGTGCGTAAATAGCAAGGCGCCATCGTCTTCCGCGACCAACGAACCGGAGGGCTTGCCAGATCTGCCGTCGGAGGCTAAAATTCTGATGGCACGCGATCAAACCGAATATCTGTTCAGTCCCGAGGGTCGCGAGTTCCTAACGGCTTCGGCCAAACAGTGTAATGTGAATGTGCGCATGGACTTCAAGGAATACGGCTACGTGCTGGTCATATACGGTTTGAAAAAGAATCAGGAGGATCTGCAGCTAATGCTATTGCGTCGCAATCAGGATGTCAAGCGCAAGAGCAGCGAATTCCAAAGCCAAAAGCCGCCCAAGCGCATCGATGTCCTCATACGCTTCATGCGCGATGGCATCAATAGCTTAACGGGCGATCTTGGCAATGCCAAGAACCATTATTTTCGCATCAAGGAGCTGGAGCAAATGAATACCAAAAATGGCTACAAACTGGCCGAACGCAAGCGGCGCCTGCTCAACATGATATTGTTCGGGCAGGCGGGCCTCTGCAATGGCAACATGCATCTCGATCAGCTGCTGATCATACTCAAGCGTCTGCTGGACGAGCATGCTGCCGATGACAATGCCCCGCCCGCGCTACGCAATGAAATCGAGGAGCACTGGCGCATCATCTTCAGTCCCTATCCGCATCCCAACTATGAAGCGCTGCTGCAGAGTTACGGCAAGCTGGATGTCAAGAATCGCATGTCTACGCTCAATATAGAGCCGGCGCTGCTGGGCCAGCAAATCGCCTACAAGCCGCCGCCGGCCGGACAGAAACGTACGGATCGCATGGCCTCGCCGCCGCCGCCTGCGTGGGCACATGACGCTAACAAGAATCGTTCGCCCAAGCAGCGCGCGTTGCTTCATGCCAAATGGTCGGATCAGCCGCAGCAGCTGCCGCCGCCGCCAGTTTGGAAACACGATGAACGCGCACAGGCCACGTCCAGCACGCAGCAGCAACAACAGCAGCAGCAGCAGCAACTATCACACAACAATCGCACACCAAAGCCACGCGCACAGCCGCAGGCCAAGTTCGCAGGCCAGCAGAAACGGCAGCTGCCACCGCTGCCGCCCATTTGGCAGCACGTGGATCAGCACAACAACAGCAACAACCACAACAACAATAGACAAAGGCCGGGAAAGCAGCAGCGCCTGCAGCCATATGCCAGATTGCCAGGTCCAGTTCAGCAGCAACACCAACAGCAGCTGCCCTGCCACAATATGCAGCAACGTGCGCCTGCCAGGTTGCAACTGCAACGCAATCGTCCGCTGCAGTCGGAATGCTTTCGCCTGCTGGCTGGCATGGAGCGTGGCGATGCACGCATCAATACGGATGCCTCCAAGCCCTCCATGTTTTGGTCGCGTGAATCCCTCAAATATCTGGACAATCTGTTCAAGCTGACGGCCAATGGGGAGACCCTGGAGCGACTGCAGCGCGTGCTGGAACGTTCGCGACGCGGTCAGCTGTCGCATAATGACTACCGCGCTGTGATACGGCTGCACTCGCTGATGGAGCCCAATTACAATTAATTAGTTTAGTTTAAGAGATGAGCTTAAAACATGGATTCACTTGTGGGTATGTCAAGGATATTACCCAAATACCGAATAAATGAACTTTGGACTTTCAGTTTAACTAATGTAATAATGCACTTAAAGTTTATTTATTCTTTGGTTATGAAACATATATTATGCTAAGATTATTAATACAAATAGTTAATACAGCATCATGTTGGCAGTTTCCACGCTCCGTCTAGTCCACATCAGTCCAAGAGGAAGCTGGATAAATGAGATTCAGCGCTTTGTAATTATTTGTGTGTAGCTGCTAGTAATACGTATTATTTTTATTGACTAGACAAGGATTTACAAGAAATTGGGCTGACAATGTAATTTACATAAATAGTTGATTGGGACGTGTCTACTTTGTGGGAAAATCTGGCCAATAGTTAATGTAGTATCTGTGTGTTGTACCCTCGAACAGACGATCGAGCCAGTTGCTAAGACCATCCAATAGGTTGTCCTCGAACAGAACATTCGACTCAACATCCGATTCCTCCGAATAGTTGACACCCAGAAAGTTTCCTATTTCCGGATCATCATTTCTATCCAGCAATTGCTTGGTCATTTTAATCATTCGCTTGGTGCCGCGCGCGCATTCCGGATGCTTGGCATGATATACGCAGAAATACTTTCGGTGTCCATTTAAGGCTATAACGGTGCCGACACAATTTCTGGGATTGATCTTTAGGCTTTGATTTGTGCATAACGACAAGCGCAACAGCTCCGAGTACCAGGACAAGCCCTTCTCGATCAGCATGTGACCAAACAGTAGAGTTTTGGTACGCCTGTAAGGCCAAACAGCGCGATGATAAGGTGGAATTAACTTCGTACGACTCTGCATATCGGTTATCAGGAGGATAGTGCGACAGCCGGGCTTCAGCAGACGCACCAGACCATTATATTTCTCGGCGCGCAGCTCGTATAGCTTCAGCTCCGGCACAGGCTTGCTCGGCTTATTGCACTGGCCCTCGTTCAGCTGACCCTGTGCCTTGAGACTCTCCTCCTCGGCGCGCACAAAGTACATCATGACATAGCCAATGCCGAACATAAATGCAATGGTGCCCAACAGCGATAAGGCGGCAAACAGATGTTCATCCTCAATATTATCGGATAGATAGTCGACCAGATAAAGTAATCTAGTGATCCATTTGCTCAATATGCCCTGAGCGTGTTCGTCCAGCAGGTTCTGCACGAATGCCTCGTAGGTCAGCGCCTCGGATGTCTTCAAGAGTCTTTGTATGGTAAGATTGATCTCATGTTTTGTCGTATTAATTGCACTATTATTCAGAAAGTCTGTCGTTTTTATGTCCAGCTTGGCGCCATCGACCCATTCGTATTTGATTTGGGTGCTGTCACGCCGCCAGATGACCACAAGTCTTAGGAGATTGTCCTCGAACGAACCCTTGGAAATTGCATTAAGAAACTCGGCCTGCTTCTCCTTGTACATGTACGCAAAGCGAACTCTTTCCATGCTGTAGCCCGACTCCAGAGCAATGTATCGCAGTGCACCACGCGCTATATCATATTCCGGTGAGTTTTCTGTTATAAGTACGACGCACAATCGCTTCCGGGGCCTGTTCCACTCGGCCGGGCAGACACCTTCGAGCACATCCTGTGACGATAGCCGGGGTAGCGACAGAAATTGATTTGTCGAGATGATATTGTCCAGCGTTTGGGTGGGTATATCAGCCATAGATATGCTAGCAACAGCCCGCAAGGAGTCTTCATTGAACAGAAAGAGCGTATCCAATTTGGGATTAACTTTATAGCGATCCGCTATCAACTTGGTGCCCTTGCTGGTCAGGTCGACAAAGCCGAATGCGACGCGATCATGGAAGGCAAAGGCGCTTATCAGATACCTCAATCTGGTGACGCTCCTTGGCTCGAGGACCAGAGCACGCACCCGATTATCGGTCCAACCATTTAGGAATTCATCGAGATTATCATCATTGACACGCTGACCAATCTTAAAGGGCATCTTCTTGCGTATAAACTCAGCCAATTTCTGCTGGGTATAGATATTCTCGCGATAAACATAGCTATGCCCAGCCAGGACCAGCACCATTCTGGGTATATCATCCGCTCCGGTCTTGCGCAAAATAGTTGGCTCGTGGGCCGCATTGATGGTCGCAAAGTGCACGCCCAAAGGCTCAAACGTATCGATCAGCTTCTTGAATGCACCGACTATCCGTATACAGCCAAAGCACCAGTCATTGTAGAACATAATAATGTGCAGCTTGTTCTTGCTCTTCGGTATAATCGTGTGTTCAAAGTAGTTGGAGGTGATTGACAGCTTGTGATAAAGGCTGATGTCCTGGTCAAAGCCGAATTGCTTGCCAAAGAACTCCTCGACTGGGTCGAATCCGAAGCGATTGTAGCCGCTGTAGTCATGCTTTTGCTTAAGATAATGCGAATCCTCACTGGTTATGCCATGTCGGTCGTAGATGCGCCGCCGGTCCCCGTCGCTCAGCAGCTCGTAGGCCTTTTTGATTTGCACAAACTTTCGCTCAGCTTCCGGATGGCTGGTTTTATCCGGATGCCATTCCTTGGCCAATTGTTTATAGGCGCGTCTTATTTCCTGCTGAGAGGCTGTGTGGCTAACGCCCAGCTCCTTGTAGGGATCATTTAACGCGCACAGGCATAAGGCGGCTAATGTACAAAATATAAGCACTTTCAGCATGTCAATTGGTTTAAACATGGTGATTGCTTGCTTGAATCTACAATATTACTCCTAGTTCTTTATTTTTTCGGGTCTAGTGCGCTGCATGCGTATTGGGGGTTGGTCCGTGCTCCAGATACGAGAATGATTGATGAGCTTATTGATTTTTAACTGGATATATTTTATTCAAAACTTTAAGATATGCTGGAAACGCACATGGCGTTCCAATAAAATTTGTTTGGTTTATTCTCTAAACACAAACTTTTTTTGAATTGTTTTTCTGTGACAGACAAATTATTACGCTAAACCCGTCAGGGTTGCCGCGGAGTGTTAAACTGCAGTATTGCCATACAAGGAACAAATGCGCAGTACGCTGATCATACAAAAATACCTAATTAGCTACATGGGTTTTAAACATGTATAATCGTGGCTTTTATAATTACAGTAATTAAACTAATAGCTTTATACATTTCATTTTCTTCAATAATGTCATTATATATTCTAAAATGTTATATTTACATATTTAGTATTCTTATTAGCAGTGCTGCCAGACTGTTTCGGTCCATAACAAGCTGGAATGTTGTTAAAATACCAAATATACCGAATCAACGTTAGTCAACACTGTTGTGCTTGCCCAGCACTAGGCAAATTAAAGATAAAATTAAATAGCCAGAAATACGCGTGTGTGACGTGCTAATAGTTAAATAGTTGTGCTTGCAATCGTAATGCCTAAATAGACAATATTTTGAGCAAGTGTTTGTGCAATAAATACGGGCAGCGTTTGCAAAGCGCACAAAATATTAGAAACAAATTTTCAAGCTACGGCTACTGGCTGAAGCAGCAGTACAAGCCACTGCCTCTTGCCCCTGCCCCGTCGTTGTTGCCGTTGTCGTTTGTCTGCTTTGGCGTTGCGTCCCGTATGTAAATGTAACCGATGGACGACGAAGGCGACCCAAACAGATGATATTCATGTTGAGAAAAAAAAACAACAACAACAAATACGAAGCGCAGCAAAAGCAGCCGCAGCCGTAGCAGCAGCAAGCATGTACATATAGCCATATTATTCAATGAGTGTGTGCGCGAGCGTATAAAAGAAAATTAGATAAAAAATAAAATGAAATTAGCGCACGCCTGAATTTCGAGTTTGGCGCAAGGTGAACCGAACCGAACCGAACTGTGAATGTATATAAAAATTTAGTGCAAAAAGACGAAAACAATTTTCTCTTTGTGTGCGTTTGTCGTGCGTGTGCGAACCTGAAAGTGCTGCCACCTGCGATTGCAATTGCAATTGCATTGATTTACGCATACATACATAGCCGAGGATATATACAGCAGTATATAAATATATATATATATATATGTGCACACAAAACATACACACACACACACATGCTGACTGACTGATAAAAGCCTGAGACACACACACATGCACACACTCTGACGCCTTACACAGAGCTTTGTAAGTTTATGTTTATGATTATTTTGTAGCTGTTTATTTTTATATACATTTGCATTGTTGTTGTTCCGTTTTAGTTGTTGTTGCTAACATATCGCTCTGCTTTCCGTCGTCTACGTTTTCTATTTGATTTTGCAAACTCATTGAAAAAAAAAACTTAATTACATTCATGGCTTCGCTGCAGCAGTAATTGCCCCCGCCGCTGACTGCCGCATGGAAATTTCTTACGGTACGCAGCCAACAGAGCCAAATGTTAATTATGTGCCGCTACCAACTATTCCCGCTTGCCCCCTTCGCCGCCCTCACTGTTTATAGTTGCCACAAAATGAAGCCCATATTGTTGACGCAGCTCGTGTCGCGTCTTATTTGTTTATGCTCCACACACACACACACACCAACACATGCATTCACAAATTTTGGATCGTTGCACAGTGTTGCCAACCATAGTCATAAATTTACATATATGTAGATTTTATGTTTTAATTGAATATATAATACAGTGAAGGCTCTTCTTAACGAACAGTTCTCTTCGGCGAAAATCTCATTTAGCCAGCACACTGTCCGTCGAAACTAGATATTTTATTGAACTAAAATGCAATATTGTTCAAATATCTTTTTTAATTTATTGTACTTCTGTGGGTGTCCGCTTAAAGGAGCTTCCACTGTACATTCAAAACTTTACGAAACAAGATTGCGCATGCAAGCCAAAAGTGCATCAAGTACTAGACTTGCCATATGTCTTATCGATAGAAAAAATACTATAAACATTTTTCAACACTTTGCCTCAATACAAAAATTTGTATTCCTTTTTTGTTTTGCATTTTTCTTCACACCTTTGAAACAAATTTCAATTATTTTTAAACCACTGTGCAGCGTGCAGCTCCTGTGTACGTCTTGGACACCGCGCCTAATGGCCGCATTTGTCATCGATTCTGATAAGAGTGTGACATACGTGTATTTGCGCGGTTCTACACGCGTATAAGGCTTTAACCCCCCGCGTCCCCAGAACTTGCCTTCTAAGCAGTTCGAACCTTCAACAGTGACGTAGCGCAACAACAGCAAATAACAAAGAAACTCAAATCTATACGCTTCATATTAATGTTAATCGTTCTCGAATGCAATCGGGTATTTCGACATGTTTCGTTAATGACAGCGACAATTGTCAAGCAAGTTGAAGGTCGGTCAGGATTAATTGACGGGGAGTTGGGGGGTCTAACGGTTTGCTATCATATCGATATGTTTCCTTTTCATGGCGTAAAAGTGTAGCACCTGGTTTTGCCTGAACCTCAAGTGTTTTTCTTTTTTGATACCTATTTCCGCATTTGCGAAATACATACATATTCAGAGTTAATTTTCAGTCTCCCAAAATCCGACTGATTAAATTGATTGGTTTATCTTTTATATATTCATAGTTAAATTAAACAGTCTTCCACCTATTTTCCGACTGTTTAAAGTGATTTGCTGAAGCCTTCAAACCATCTCTTGTTAAAAATTGGTCTATAACTCTTTGTAAACAAACAATTATATATATTCGTGAGATTAGTTCAATATCTATGTCCGTATAGGCTTTTAATGAATGTAAGACATGTTTTCCATTAATTTACTCTTAAATCTGACTTTAACAGTTGCTCAACTCTTTTTTACCCTTATAATATGTCGCAATAAAGTAGATTCCTAGTATTATAGTGAGTGTATATGTTTTAATATATGTAGGTAGATATTGCATGAGTAAGCGGCCTGTTATCGATGCAAAGATCATAAATATAAAATATTAGCTGTAATTTACTTTGACACGCTTGTTATTTTGGTACTGATTGCAGTGAACCACAAGAAGAAGGCAGCGAGACGCGTTTGACTGATTGCCGTGGCACGCAGGGCCGTCGAAGTGCTGGAGTAGCATTTGGAGGCAACACATCAAGTGTGGATAGAACAGCAAGCAAGTCCAATGTCCAATAAAATCAATCCAAAGCGCCGTGAACCGACAGTAGCAGCAGCAGTAGCAGCAGCCACGGCTGTGGTGGCCACCAATACGAGCAGCTCGACCGGCTCCAGTGCTGGCAACACATCCTCGGCGAACACATCGTCCTCGTCCAGCTCTTCACTGTCGTCCGCCGGTGGCGGTGATGCGGGCATGTCCGCCGATTTAACATCTCTATTCGAATGCCCCGTTTGCTTCGATTATGTGCTGCCACCGATTCTGCAATGCTCCAGCGGGCATTTGGTGTGCGTCTCGTGCAGATCGAAGCTCACATGCTGCCCAACATGTCGCGGCCCATTGGCCAATATACGCAACCTGGCCATGGAGAAGGTCGCCTCCAATGTGAAGTTTCCGTGCAAGCACTCGGGCTACGGCTGCACCGCCTCGCTCGTTTACACAGAAAAGACCGAGCACGAGGAGACCTGCGAATGCCGGCCATACCTATGTCCCTGTCCGGGCGCCTCGTGCAAATGGCAGGGACCGCTCGATCTAGTCATGCAGCATCTGATGATGTCCCATAAGAGCATCACAACGCTGCAGGGCGAGGATATTGTATTTCTGGCCACCGACATCAATCTGCCCGGCGCCGTCGACTGGGTAATGATGCAGTCCTGCTTTGGCCATCATTTCATGCTCGTGCTGGAGAAACAGGAAAAATACGATGGACATCAACAGTTCTTTGCCATTGTCCAATTGATTGGATCACGCAAGGAGGCCGAGAATTTCGTCTATCGCCTGGAACTAAATGGCAATCGACGCCGCCTAACATGGGAGGCAATGCCGCGTTCCATACACGAGGGCGTTGCCTCCGCCATACACAATTCGGATTGTCTGGTGTTTGATACATCGATTGCGCAACTGTTTGCCGACAACGGGAATCTGGGCATCAATGTAACCATATCTCTGGTCTAAATTGATCGATAAATGTGGCTTCTAAGAAGAAGACGATGATGATGATGATGATGGTGATGATCATGGTGATGATGGAGTCGATGATGATGATGAAAATGCATCGTTTCTAAAACGATACTCGATATACATCATGTACATCAGGTACATCATGTATGTATATGTAGCTCGGCAGGTCTCTCTGTCTGTGTGTCAGTCTGTCAGTCTGTCGGTCTGTCGGTCTGTCAGTCTCGTCTGCCGTCTGGCAATAATAAGTAGATCTAGTGTTTCATTTTCGAAAAAAAAAAAACAAGAAGGAAAAAAACAAACACATTTATTCAACAGCGATTTAATATATATACAACTATTTTTTTGTGGGTTTTAGTTTAATTTAGTTTGTAAGCCGAACGGCGTGGGCAGCTGCCACATAACGTACATCCATAAATCCATAAATACATCCCTAAAAGAAAAGAAAAACACACACAAACACACAGAAACAAACACACACGTACACTATACGCAGCCTAGTTTAGTTAATGTAAATTATTTTATACAAACAACAATAACAGAAAATACTTGTAAATGCTATAAAAGTAAACATCACTTTTAACGAAATTAACAAGAATAAAATCTATATATATATATAAATATATATTAATAATATGTAATAACTCGAGAGTTGTAAGCGATTGCGACAATTTTTGTTTATGCCAAAACGAAACACAAAACTCTTTTCCTTTAAACAACCTCCCCTCCCTCACCCCCCCCCCCCCCTGCCCCCCAGCCACGACACATAAAAAGACAGTCAAATTTTGTACTATCCAAACAACAAACAAAAGAAATCTAAAGTTTAAATTTATATAGTTTAGACCGATCTCCCGCACAGTTGATTTTGTTTTGTTTCGCACACTCGAAAATTGCAATTGGAAATTGTGAATGAAAAGCGGTTTTTCTTTTTAATGCAACTGCAATGTATTTAGTTTTAATGAAAACAAAAACCAACCAATTCAAACACACACACACACACACATTCACACACGCGACAACAATTAAAGAAGAAGAAAAATAAACGTGATTAGTAAAATGAAAAGTCTTATCAATGAAAACGAATGCGAAAACAAAAAGTTTATCTACGAAGTGCGAAAGTTTTTATAAAATTGCACGCATACAGCATATATATGATATATCTGTATGCCCTACTAGAGGGTATTTTGATTGTGTCATGAAATATGTAACATAGGAGAAGACATCTCTAACACCATTAAGTATATATATACCTTCTTGTATGAGAAAGTTTTTTGTTTTTCAAGATATCTTGACCAAACTTGGCATTTATAAGTTTTATTATACTCTCTACGTATATGCAAAATCTTATCAACATCGGACCACTATATTATATAGCTGCCATAGGAACGATCGGTCGAAAATTAGGTTCTTGTATGGGAAAGTTTTTTGTTTTTCAAGATATCTTGACCAAACTTGGTATTTATAAGTTTTATTATGCTCTCTACGTATATGCAAAATCTTATCAACATCGGACAACTATATTATATAGCTGCCATAGGAGCAACCGGTCGAAATTTAAGTTCGTGTATGGGAAAGTTTTTTGTTTTTCAAGATATCTTGACCAAATTTGGCGTTTATAAGTTTTATTATGCTCTCTACGTATATGCAAAATCTTATTGACATCGGACGACTATATCATATAGCTGCCATAGGAACGATCGGTCGTAAATTAGGTTTTTGTATGAACTTTTTTTTTGTTTATTAAGATAAGTTGACCGAGCCCGACATTTACTAGACTTTTTTTTATGCTTATATAAGATCCGGATCGTATGAAGATGTACGTATGAAAATGAAGCTATATAATATATAGCTTAATGGGAAGAATTGGTCGCTAAATTAGTTTTTGTATGGCAAAATATTCTGTTTCCAAGATATTTTCACCAAAACAAACAATTCACTGTGAGGAAATGGCTTGCAAGGGTATTAAATCTTCGTAGTGCCGAAGATTGTCATACTTGTTATACTGATACCACATAACGGTATTTTTCGAACGATAAAGCCCACGGCAGCTATATGATAAGATAATCCTCCCATGCTAAGAGCAATGTGCAGCTAGAATGGTTGGCATACCTATAAAAGCACAAGTTATTTTATGCAACTATTACGGCCGATTATTATAATATAGTAGTCCGATTTTGTGAGGACTGTGCCTATATGTTGGAGGCATACTTAAGCTCGTTAGTCTAGAGTTTGGTCGAGATATTTTAAAAGGCAAACAAGTTTTTGTTTTTATTATAAAACTCTATCTTTGATCGATATAGCTGTAGCCTGAAAATAGGTCGAAGTTTCATCAAGGCAGCTTTAAAACTGAGAGACAAGAGTCGAGAGGTTAGAAACAGATATGGTTTCTGATTAAAAATATATATAATATAATAGGTATATTTCTTCATGAAATGCACTTGGTAAAATTAAAAGAACCCTCTTCCAGGGACATAAAATAGCATGAAAAACTAGTGTGAAACTTTTTCGAAAAAAAAAATGGTTTTTCTAAAAGAATTTTTAAAATAATTATACTGTACTTTTTTTTTTTGATTTCCTGATGTGTGTGTGTGTGTGTGTTCGTTGCCCTTTAGGTTTTTCCTTTGGAAATAATTTCATTATCTTCGATGTTAGATACTGGAATTATGTTAGATGAATTGGAGCAGGCCAGGCCATTTCCATGAATCCATTGCCACAAAACAGACGAACAAATTTTAGTAATCTTGAAACCCGACACAATTTTTTTAACAGAACTAAATTGCCAAGCGTACGAAAAATTAACTCTGAAACTTTCGATTTTATTTTTTATAGACCCCATTTCGGTAGATAGGCATACGCATACCGTTTCGCATGCTCTAATCGCGCCGCGCCAAATTACAAAGTGCTTCCACTTTTAGTCTGAGGGATTCACACACACACAAACACACACACACACGCACACACACACGCACGCACCCACGCACACACACACATATACACACTTATATATATATACGATATATATATATATATATATATATATATATATATAGGGTTTTTTTTTAGAGACCAACGTGATTGAAGGTGCTTGAGATGCAGCCACGTCGTCAGCGCCCGGCAACTGATGCCCCGCAGGCAGCGACAGTTGCGCTGCCGAAGGACAACAGCAACCAGGAGCAGGAGGCGCCGCTGGACCAGATCGAGAGTAGCGGCAGCAACAGCAGCAACAGCAGCAGCAGCAGCGGCGGCGGCGGCAGCGGCAGTGACTGCGAGAAACCAACAGAGACGGCAACCAGAGAGTTTTTGGTCTCGCTGCTGGAATGCCCGGTATGCTTTGGCTATATGATGCCGCCCATAATGCAGTGCTCGCGCGGCCATTTGATCTGTTCGCAGTGCCGCAACAAGTTGAACGTGTGTCCCGTCTGCCGTGTACCGATGAGCAATATACGCAACCTGGCCATGGAGAAGGTCGGCTCCAAATTGATATTCCCCTGTAAGCATGCCTGCTATGGCTGCCGTGTGCGTCTCTCCTATGCGGATAAGAAATCGCACGAGGAGGACTGTGAATTTCGTCCATATTTCTGCCCATATCCGGATGAGAAGTGCGTGTGGCAGGGTGCCCTCAAGGATGTGTACAAACATTTCGTGAGCACACATCAGAATGTCATCACCATGGAGGGCACCGACATCATCTTTCTGGCCACCAATGTGAATCAGGTGGGCGCACTCGACTGGACAATGATACAGTCGTGTCATGGCAGACACTTTCTGCTATCGCTGGAAAAGGTGCAGCTGGGCGAGGGCTGCCAGCAGTATTTTGCCGCCTGTCGCATGATCGGCACCATGCGCGATGCCGCCGACTTTGACTATCTCATTTCGTTGGAGGCCAACAATCGCACTCTAAAATGGAAGTCCAAGCCGCGCTCCATACGCGAAAGTTTCGTAACCTATACAAATGCCGATTTTCTGGTGCTCAACAAATCGACGGTGGAACTATTTTCCGAGGATGGTAATTTGGCATTAAATATCATTATCAAAAAGGCCAACAATGGTGACTAGAATGGACAATGCAGCCAACTTCATATATATATATATATATATATATACCCTCTGATCCCTGTGGCCCGGGAACGATCTGCCCCCTTGCTTCAGTCCCAGTCTCAGCAGTAGTATCTACTCTCTATGTGCTCACATATGTATATATATAACTTGTAAATGCTCCGTGGCCAGACAGAATTCATAATTCTGCCATGTTCTGGGGTGGCAATCGGATAAGCGCCGATAGGAGACACATCACTTGTTCCAAATAGCCAGATAAAATAAATTGGACAAGTTGGAAAACCATTTGCTAACTGTAATCCACTTAACTTTGTTCTCTTTCTCTCTCATTCGGCATCCGAAATTTGGTCCAGAAATTTTTCGAAAGTTTTATTTTAAAAATTATATATATTTTATGATGTCAAATTAATCGCAGTGGGCAAACGTAAGGTCAAGATCGAAGATATTTCTCATTGAATTCTCAATATCATATCATAAATTGCATTCTATAATGCTAAAATTGTAAGAGAAATCACCAAAAAAAAAGAAAGATAAAACGTCACATACATGATTTTCTCTTTGTGCCGCAATCCATATGGAGCTAATAAAGTTGTGCGTAAAATGTATGAGATAGTCTAAATGTTTGTTTTTAAATTTAAATTAGTGTTTCAACTCCATGCATTTCCCCTATTTCAAATTCACCCGCTGCTCGCAGTGTTGTAAAATGTTCTTGTTGTAGCAAACACTATTTTTTTTTGTTTAAACGTGTTCACGTTTCGCAGTGAATGCCGTATTAGCAAAACTATCGATAACTACCTGCTGGTAATCGAAAAATAGACCAATTCAACTACAATGCCAAAATAAAAGTAAATAAATGGAATAATGGACGAAGTGGATAAAATAATTATGCACCAGCTGCAGCAAATCGATGACAGCATCGAGCCCACGGATCAATTGGCTAATTTCACGCCGGAACAGGTGGTGCGCGCTGTGTCCAGTTGCCTGCTGGAAATTAATCCTTCGATGTCGGAGCTGCCACGTTCCCTGCCCGGTGGCGCCATGGCGCAGCGCTTTAGTGTGGCAACAACATTGGCCGAGCGTTGCAAGGAACACGGTTATCGCGGTGATATTGGCTACCAGATATTTCTCTACCCCAACGCTGTGGAGCTGCGCCGCCTGCTCATGTATCTCATTGAGCGACTGCCACGCGAAAGACAGAACCTTGATGTCACCGCGAAGGCGCACGCACTTAGCGCCCGGGAGCAGCTGCAGCGGGAGGTGCGCAAGAAACTGTCGGACCAATTGAAGGCGCCTTGGGTGCCGCAATTCTGCCGGTCCGTGGCCAACCGGCGGAAGCAAGGATGCAGTTGTCAGTGCATTGAGTTCAAGCCGCATCTGAATCTAAATGTGCCCGGCGCCAATCTGGCCGAACGCAGCAAAGAGGTGCAACAGTATTTTGAGCAGCTGGCGCCCAATTTATTCCAGCAGGTGGATGGCAGCTCATTTGATCTCATCGCCTCGGTCTTGCACAAAAACGACCTGGAACGCTGGAGCGATCAGGTGCCCAAAGCGGTGCTGGGCACCACAGTGCCAGAGGAGGAAGTGCCGCCTAGCCCAGTGCTGCCCCCAGCTATAAGCACTGCTGAGACGGCGACACCCGCGCAGCAGCTGGCTGACAAGGTGCAGGAGCTGCGCACGCAATCCGAGACGCTGTTGGCGCAGCGTAAGACGCTCAGCGTCAGCATAGGCGCACTGAAGGCACGCGAATCTGCAGCAGCGGTGGAATTGGAGCGCGTACAAGCCGTGCTGAAGCTGCACGAGCGCAGCTGCCTGGTGCTGGCCGAGCCGGAGCAAAATGTTGCCAAGCTGGAGGCGCTGCTGCGTGCAACCGAGGCCAAGCGGCAGACGTTGACGCAGCAGTGGCAGGATTATCGCAGTCCTTTGCTGAGCACACTGGAGAGCCTCAAGTCGGTCAAGGAAACGCAGCAGGTGCAGAACGTGCGTCTGGCCATAGAGCAGCTGGAGCAGGAGCTGCTGGCCAAGACCCAGCTGCACAACGAGCTGACTTTGCGCAGTGCCACGCAATCGCAGCAGGCGCCGCGCAAGGAATACACGAGACGCATACACGAATTTATTGGTAACATACGCAAGCAAAGGGAAGACATATACCGTGTGCTGGAGGACACGCGGCAGCTGCAGAAGCAGCTCAATGTGGTTGCTGCGCAGCTGGAACGCCAATTCAACTATACGGACGATTTGCTCTTCCAGAGCGCCAAGCACGATCTGCACGCCAAGAAGGCGTACAAATTGCTAGCCCAGTTGCATACCCAATGCAGCGAGCTGGTCGAGTGCGTCACCAACACCGGCAGCGTCAGCAAGGAGATACGCGAGCTGGAGGTGCAAATCGATGGCGAGAAGATGAAGAACGTCTTGGTCAGCCTGCAGCAGATTACGGGCGACATCAACAAGTTCGAGCAGCACATCCAGGAGCTGCAGTCCCAGATACGCACAGTGGAGAACGCAATTACAGTGGGTTAGCCGAGTGGCGGAGGAGAAGAAGGGGCGCCCGCTTAACGATATTAGTATATATTACTTATGTATTAGTGCCAATTACAACAGATCACTCACGCATAGCGTAGTTTCTCGTAGCCAATTCTCAATATATATGCATTTTTTTTAAAGAGCTAAATAAACGGACCTGATACTTTCATAACGTAAACCAGCTTAAAATCAAGCTTTTTTTAAGTATCATTCACCATGCGCAGTGTGAACGCTCGCAAAATGTTCGTGCCAGTGTGAATGGGCCATTAGCCGGTTGCGCTCTCTTGCTGTTGCTCTCTTTTTGAGCATGCGCTCTTTATACACTCCCAAGGTGGTCAGTACAACTTGCACATTAAGCACGACATGCTACATATAAGTAAAACCAACATGTGCTAAATATATAAAGAACATTAATTAATTTATGCTAAATATTATTCAGAATTGACTGCATAGCTTTGCTTAAGCATTTTTTATTCTTAGAAAGCTAGTGCAATAATATTGTATACTTAACTACTGATTGGTAGAGTATGCAACTCTCGCTCTCTTACAATTTGATATTTCTCTTGTTTTACTCCCTCTGCTTTTTGAATCTGAAGCGGCAGTTATAACTGCCGGCCCCGGACCCGGCTGTTAGTTGTTGCTCGCCTTTTGAAGTGTTTGAAGCTGCAGCGCGTTGGCGGCTGGTCGTGTCGTGTTTTCGTTTCATTTTTGTTGATTTACTTTCGTTTGTTTTTAATTTAAAAGTAAATTTCCAAGCATCCAGGCACTTGGCTTGGGCCTGAGTGCTCCAGCCTAGTGCTTAAGGGTTTTTATATATGTTTCTAAAATAAAATAAAAATAACTAAAATAACAAAACACAAGAGGCAACATATCAAAATAAAGCACTTGAGTTGCTGGGTGCCCCTTTTGTTGCTGCCGTTGTTGTTGTTGTTGTTGCTGGTGTTGCCCTGTGCCGCTCCAGAACTCGTTTGTGGCCTAGAGTTTTAGGTTCTTTTGCATGCCGCGATAACAAGTTTAACCGGTGTGCGTGTGTTTGCCGCGTGTGTAATTGTGTGTGACTGTGCTTTCTGTATGTGTGTTGTGCTATGTGTGTGTGCGTGTGTGTGTGAGTGTATTTCGCCTTCAACAAACTGTTGCGCTTGGTCGCTGATGACGTTGCCGGCCCTTTTGCGACTGCTGCAGGTCATAAATACAAAAATACCACAACAACAACAAAAAACTAAATAAAAAACCGACGCTCCGCCAATTAGAATTGCAAAAAATATGCTGAAGGTCGTGGCTTCGCGGACCTGCCCAAAATTAATTAGCCTTCAGTTGGTATTTAGCCGGCCGGCGTCGCTTTCGAAGTCGAATATAATTGTGCAAAAAAAACGGTAAAGAAAAACTAACGGTACACGTCACGCCAGCTAGCACCAATGCCAACAACAAGAGACGCCATAATCAAAATGCCAATAAAAACAAAATAAATAATAGAAAAAAATCTTAAAAAAAAGCAGTGAAATATTTTTTTTTTTTGTTAGCGACATTTTTAGGCGACAACGCAATAATTTGTTTATAGCAAAAAACCAAAGCTGATAAAAATGTTAATACTACAGGGGTCACTCGCGAAGCTAGAAGCGCTTAGAATATTGTGAGAGAGAATAAAGAAATATAAATTTTTTTATGTTTCTTGGAACATCTAGAAATTCGAATCTTTGCAAACTCGAATCAATTTTGGCGTTCTAGTTAGCGAGCGATCACTGTAAATAGAATTGGTTTTCCAGCACGCAATCGAAACGAACGCCTTGTTGTACTGTGTAACGAAAAGCAATATTACAAATTAATTAACAATAATAACACTTCAAATTGCATTCGAGTTCGAAAAGAAGCCGAAGAAGAAGAAGAAAAGATGACACCATCGCCCACAAAGGAGCTCATGAATGCGCCAACAATTTCACGACGTCCGCGCGAGGAGTTTGCCGAAAAGGTGAGTCGAGCCACGTCCTTTTTGAATAGTTTTCATAATTTAGCCAAGTGCTATTTTTAAATGCTACCAAATGTGTTTCCTGTGCTTTTATTGATCGACCTCAAAGAGCAAATAAGACGAACAGAAAAAAAACTAAGAAACTAAGATAGAAGAAAAAAATGAAATGGAAATGGAAATGTGCTTTGTATTCTTGGCATGGTTAAAAAATATAAACATTTGCCGGGCTTTTGTTTGATTCTATTTGTTTGTGCAATGTACAAAATACCCACATATACTACTATATACAAAACACGTGTACATATTTATATATATAGTAAACATATAGTAATCCAACAGACGTATAAATATATGTATGTATGTATGTATATATCTGTCTGCTCTGTGTCGTAATTTAGACAGTTGCCAGGTAATCGAAAAGTTATTCCTGGTTTAAATCACATTTTGGGTCTCTGAGACTCTGACTAATCAAATGGCGTTTGTCGTGGCTTCAAACGATATCTGATTGATAAGATATCGACAGTTACCGTTAACTGATAATCGATTCTGCGATCCAAGTACCCATCATTCATTAGCTGTACTTCTGTCTATCTTTATATATATATATTATATTTATAGGTTTTGTTTATATATACGTTTCGGCAATATTTCTATCATCGCGTGTAACAGTTTTTTTCCCTTTTCATGATGTATAAAAACTGTTAATGGGAACTTTTGTTAATTTGATGTATTCCTGATTTATTGCCATTTACTTAGTTATCGATTGAGATGTGACTAAGGTGAAAATTGGGCTTTCCGTGTATCGAAATGAAACTATTAT